CCCTGCCTGCGACATAAGCTGGGCACCAGCATGCATCTGTCTCCTGCCTGCGACATAAGCTGGGCACCAGCATGCATCTGCTTTCTTTCTGCAGACATAAAGTGAACAGCGACTTCACACTCCTGCCACATGCCTTCCTACCATGATGGACTTTTATCCCTTCTCAGACTGTGAGCCAAAATGCATCTTTGGTAAATTCTAATTTGGCTTCTTTGCAGAATTGATCAGTTGATCTTAAGAAATGCAAGAAACTCAGCAGTGCTGTAAAAATACTGCCAGAGGACTCACGCTTCCTAACTTGATTGACCTTAAAGATGTATTTTATCATTTATTACATGCATATCTATGTGTGGGGATGCACTTTTAAGTACCCACAGAAACCACAAGAGGGCTTTGGGTCCTCTGGAACTGGAGTTACAGGCAGCTGTGAGCTGCCAGGTGAGGGTGCTGGCAGTCAACCTTTGGTCCTCTGAAAAACTAACAAGTCCTCTCAACTGCGAAGCCATCTCTCCAGCCTCAACCTTAAAGCTACTGTAATGCTTCAGTAGAGAGGACGACATGGTGCTGGTGCAAGGACACAGGGATGAACAGGACAGAACTGAGTTCGGAACAAGCTTGCCCATTCGTCATTAATTCATTTTTGACGAGGGTACCAGGATAGCTCACTGCGGGCAGGGTGAATGCCAGGGCAGTTAGCCCACAGGTACACAAAAAGATGCTATGTCTCATCAGTATTAGGGAAATATCAATCAAAATCAATGAAATATGAGTTCAGAAAAGCTAGAAAACTAGTATTGGCGAGGCAAAGGAGGGTCGGAGCTCGCAAGTAGGAACGGAACACGGTGCAGCTGCTAAGAGAAAGTCTGCGGCTTCCTTAAGAAATTAAAACAGCTACTTACGGGACATAATGGTCACATCCCTTGTTACCCCCAAAGAATTAAAAGAAAATCTTCTTTTGTTTGTTCATTTTCTCTGTGTAGCCCTGGCTGTCTTGGAACTTGATCTGTAGACCAGGCTGGCCTCAAACTCAAAGATCCCCCTGCCTCTGCCTTCCAAGTGCTGGGATGAAAGTCATGAGCCACTAGTACCTGGCTTACTTGTATGTGACTGTGCTAACATACATTCATGAAAGTCAGACGGTTCTGGGAATCAAACACAGGTTCTCTGCAGCATGGTTGCATTCACTATTTGACATCAAATGAAGAGATAAGCACAAGGTGGTTTATACATTATAGTGGGCAGGGAGGAAGGGTAGCTCAGTGGTAGAGTGTTAGCTTATTTCATAAAAGTCCAGGGTTTGATTCCTAGGACCATCATAACACATACATACATATACACATTCATACATGTGTGTGTATATATTATTTATGTATATATATGTGTGTGTGTGTGTGTAATGAATGATTACAATTCTGTTACTACAGCAACTATTTTTAATTTTTTTTTTTTAACAAGGTCTTATTATGTGGCCCTGACTAGCTTGGAACTTGCTATGTAGACCACTCTGGTCTAGAACTCACAGAGATCCTCCTGCCTTTGCCTTCAGAATGCTGAGATTAAAGGTGTACACCATCATACCTTGTGCTATTTTGTTTTTTGAGAGTGTCTAAGTATTCCAATCTGGCCTCCACTTAGATTTGTAGCTGAGGATGACCTTGAACTTTGGACCCTCTCAAGGGCTGGATAATAGGCACAGGCCACCATGCTCAGTAAAGCTGGGCTAGGGACTGCGCCTAGGGCTTTGTGTGTGCTAGGCAGGCTCTCTACTAACTGAGCTGCGTGTCTAGCTACTCAGCTACTCTTGAACCAGGGATTAGTCACTGTTTACAGTTTCCAGTTCTCCACCTTGTCCTAGTTCCTCAACGTGACCTACCTATGGCTGCCAAATACAGCCATCTCCTGGTAAACACTTCCTTGTGAGGCAAAATGCAAGCAAACTGAAGTCTAGTCAATAGAAACCATTCAAGAGTCAAAGAACCTGAGTGGCCTTCCTCATTGCTCAGAGCATGATAGGAATTAAGGACACCCCCCCCCCACTCGCACTTTTTGCTCATTTTCATAGAACAACTTTAGTTCCAACACTGGGGAGGCAGAGGCAGGCAGATCTCTCTGAGTTCACGGCCAGTCCCAGAGTGAATCCCAGTTCAGCCAAGGCTTCATAGCAAGATTTTGTATTACAAAACCAAATAAATAAATAAATGAAAAGATGTTTGTATGTATCTATGCGTATGACTGTCTGCACACCTGTGTCTGTGTGGGTGTGGTAAGTGCCGGAAAAGGGTGTCCAGCTTTCTCTAGTCATCCTCTGCTGAACTCTTTGAAGCAAGATCTCTCCCTCAGCGTGGAGCTTGAGTTTTCTAAGCTGGGCTGAAAGGTGTGCGAGGGTCAGTCATTAATGTGGGTGCTCAGATCCGAACTTGGCCCCGTGACTGCGCAGCAAGGGCTCTTAAGCACTTTGTAGCCCGACTAGAGAGCAATCCCGATTGCAGGGTTGTAAATGTACTGAATGCTACCTAAAAATGGCTGGAATAGTTTTGTTTCTTTCTTTATTTTTTAAAGCAGGAACTCATGTCACATACACTGGCCTCAAACTCACTGTGTAGGCAAGGATGACAATAAACGTCTGGTCTGGTCGTCTTGCATCTACCTTCCACTTGGCTCTATGTGGTGCTGGGGACCGAAACTTGGGTGCTGTGTGTGCTAGCCAAGTACTCTAGCTGTTGGGCTAAACTCCAGCCCCAAAATATAAAAACTTCAAACTCATGCTAAATGCATTTTACTACTGTTAAAAAGTATTGAAACACTGATTCAAGGTATAACATGGATAAACTTGAAAACATGACTCAGAGGGAACTTGGTGATAGATGACCTCATGTTGAATTATTTTGGATAAATCCTAGGATAAACAAATTTATAGAGATAAAATAGATTGCTGGCTGGCTAGTGTTGGAGGGGACCAGATAGAGTCACCTTCAACGGATAGAGTTTCTCTTGGGAAAAACTTAAATTTTCTTTTAATTGGTTGTGACAATGGATACACAGATTTATGGCTCATCATACTAAAACCCAGTAAGATTGTCTTCTTTTTTTTTTAATATTTATTTATTATGTATACAATATTCTGTCTTTGTGTATGTCTACAGGCCAGAAGAGGGCACCAGACCTCATTACAGATGGTTATGAGCCACCATGTGGTTGCCGGGAATTGAACTCAGGACCTTTGGAAGAGCAGGCAATGCTCTTAACCACTGAGCCATCTCTCCAGCCCCAAGATTGTCTTCTTTTTTAAAAAAAAAAATACAAGATGGCTGGGTGGTGGATGTGCACACCTTTAATCCCAGCACTTGAGAGGCAGAGGCAGGTGGATCTCAGCGAGTACTCCATCTACAGAGTGAGTTCCAGGACAGTCCCAAAGCTGTTATACAGAGAATCCCTGTCTCAAAACCTCCTCTGGAAAAAAAGCAAGATGGCTTGGCAGATAAAGGCACTTGCTACCCAAGCCTGCTGTGAAGACCCGAGTTGCATCCCTGGAAGGTGGAATTGGTTCGGAAAGTCCTCTGACCACCGTAACAGCTTGCGCATCTGCCACACACAATGATAAATGACACGTCATTTTTAATTGGCAGTATTGCTATCAAATTCAAAGCCTCTACAGAGGTCATTGAGATGTACCCCCAGCCCCACCCGCTATTTCGAATGGGTAAAATGTAAGTATAAATTAGTAAATCATGTCTGAAGAAAGCCACTGAGTGACACCAGCCACAGGGCTGGAAACCACGGAAAGTTCAAAGGGCATCCAGCCAGCGCTCCTTGGCAACTCTAATAAGCATAATAGGAATACACATTAGAAATCTCTTTAAATCAATCATAAATGATAAGATTCTCATTTTGGGGTTTCAATGGTCAACACTGAATGTGCCTTTAAGACTGGAAGCGGGGCGGTGGGGGGGGGGCGCTGGAGAGATGACTCAATGGTTAAGAGCATTTGGTCTTCCGAAGGACCTGGGTTTGGTTCCCAGCATCCACATAGTGGTTTATATCACTCTATAACAACAGTTCCAGGGGAGTCAAAACTCTCTTCTGACTTCTGAGGCACCAGGCACACACATGGTGCACATATATACACGCAGGCAAAACGTTCATAAACATAAAGAAAGCTGTTGGGGGTGGGGAGGGTTAGAAGTTACCCGAGGTTCTCTGAGCTCAGCCGGTATGACTCTATGATCAATGGCCTGCAAAACTTTAACCCAGAGCTCAGCAGGATTCAACAAAAGGTCTAAAGAAACATCCAGAAACAGTCTTGCAACTGTAATTTTATTTTCTTTTGTGAAAATAAACTGGGAGTTTAAATTGCTCCAAAAACCATAAAAACAAAATGAAATACACACAGAAGAAGCTTGTGGAGGTGGTGGGGGGAGGGGCAGAGGGTCTTAGAACTTCGGCAGATTGTACTAGCACACACTGAAGGACAGGAGCCAGGCAGTGGGAACTAAGACTGCGAGGCAGGAAGACTCAACTGTGCACCGAAAGGAACACAAGACTTCTTGGAGGCACCTTGAGTCATTTTAAATGCAGGGTTGGGGGACCATTTCAGAGGAAGGACCTCTTTCCCCACCACGAGAGCTCTCGGAGGCTGGCCCACTGGGGCCCGAAGGAGAGGGGGATGCTGGTGGGAATGGATCAGGCCAAGATGTATGTCATCACACGTGATCATGGCCTTACAATGGGCAGAGGACAGAGGGGCATGAACTGGTGTTGGACATGACAAAAACTTGTGCTAGGGAACAAGAGTGACCTGGAGGAAGGGAGCCAGGCTAGGACTCCAGGCCAGGCAACATGGCAGATGCGGTGGGGGAGCTAGGGTAGGTGGGACCGGTGAGGACAAGGGAGGGCAGAAAGTCAGGAAGAGAAGAGGTAGAGAGGCATCTTCCGCCCAGGAATACCCACCACAGCGCAGGGGGCGAGAGCAACACACTGCTTTTCAGTGCTTTCTTGTGAAGATTTGGGGAGGCGGGGGTGATGAAGGTTTTATTTTGTATTTTTTTTTCTTTTTTTAAAAAAAGCCTGAAGATCAGCTGTTGGTTACATCTATAGTCGTAAAGCACTGCCGTTACCAGTCACTTTACAGAACAGTCCAGAGTGGTCAAATATTGACCAATAATGTTTCCTTTTATCCCCTCCTCTCTTCTGAATCATTCCTACTTGGAGTCCCGAGTCAGCCTGCATAGAACAGGGGGTGGATTAGTGGGCAGACTTGGTGACCAAGGAAAGAGGCTGGGCTTGTAGCACGGGGAGGGCCTGGTGGGCATGGAGGGTAGCTGGGAAGGAAGGGGGAGAGGTCAGCAGAGCAGTAGGCACGGAGCCCAGGGGCAAGGGCCTGGATAGGAGTGGCGGCTGGCTGCCCATCTGGCTGGAGTTACTGGCTGTGGCCTTAGCGGCCAGGAAGGCAGCCGAATGGAGAGCCAGCTGGGCTCGGGTCTCCGGTTTGGTGGTGAGGGACAAGGGCTGGGCTTGCTCGGAGTGGGTGGCCGCAGGGGCAGCTGGCGATGCCAAGGCTGCGGAGGGAGTTGCAGGCGAGTCCAGCGTGCTGCCATGGGAAGAGGCAGGGCTATCGCAAGGCTTCTCAGGGGGCAGGTACTGAATACATGGCTTCTTGCTCTTGGAGGCCAGAGCACCTAAAGACAAAAACACAGGGGAAAAACGATCAGCTGGGAGCAATGGGAGGGGCAGAGGCAGAGCAGTGGCCAGACACTGGTACAGTACAGTTAGCCTTGTGGATCTGTGGCTCCCCCTCTGTGGCTCCAACCCAGAACCAATGAAAATATTCAGGGGAAAAAATCTTTTCCGTACTAAACACACACATTTCTTTTCCTTGCTGTTTTTTTCACGAAGCAAACAGAACCTAGTAGATATTTCCACAGCATTCATTGTGTGGGGCGTTAGAAGCATCTAGAGTGGTCTAGGGTAGCTGGAGGATACGCATAAGCTATATATAAATACAAGACCACCTAATCAAGGCACTCAAACATCTGTGGATCAGCGATCTGAGAAGCGGAGTACGGTGGGGCCCTGGGGCCAATCTGAAGGCTACTGAGGGATGACTGTGCACTGGAATCGTTAAGACTGCTTGAAAAATACTTGAAAAATTTATATTGTGGGGTGTATGTGCATGTGTGTGTAGAGGGCAGAGGTCACGGCTGAGCTTCTTCTATTGCTTTACACCTTCATTTTTTTTTAAAACAATTGTTTTATGCGGATGGGTGTTTTGCCTACACATGTCTGTGTACTAGGTGTGCCTAGCACCCGTGGAGGCCAGAAGGGCATTAGATGCCCTGTAACTGGAGTGACAGATGGGTACAAGCACTCTTCACTGCTGAGCCAACTCTCCACCCTCCACTTCTTTTTTGAGACAGAATCTCTCACTGGCTATAAAGCCTGCTGTTCTTAGTAGATTAGATGACCGGGTTGCATGGTATCTTTACGTGGGTACAGGGCATCAGAAGGCAGCTCTTCATGCTTGCACAGACTTAATCCACTGAGTTCTAAATCCAGTCCGGGCTTTGTTTGTTTGTTTGAGACAGGCTCTCATGTATCCCAAGCTGGCCTCAGACTGGAGCCAAGGACAATCTCAGGGTCCTATTTCTACCTCTGAAGTGTGGGGATAGATGCGCAGTAGAACCTCTGTTTGATGTGGTGCTGGCTGCCAGGCTCGGGACGTCGTGCATGCTTAGGCAAGCATTCCCTCAACTGAGCCGCACGCATCTCCAGGCTCTTCAAAGATTCCAAGATTAGGAAGCTACACATAAGGACTCCCAGAGAAGGCACAGTCTAAAGACCAAATGCCCAGACTGACAAAGACGCACTCAGAATCTAATCAGAAAGAAACAGTTTAAAGTCTCCCACCTCATCACCCCCTCCTTAAAGCCCTAACTGTTGAGATGAATCCTTGGCTCATGGCACAGAGATGGGGCACTCCTGTGGAGCACTGTGGCGTGTCACATAACAGGTTTTGTGTCGTCTCTATATTCTACTACTGTATGCGGCTGTACAGGAACACACAGATAACGTGAAGAAAGGAGGCCAGTGTACCGCTAACGGCACTATCAGCCTTATACTGAGATGAGCCTGAGATGAAGGCCAGGACCTAAAACTTGTCACCCCAGCAACGGTCCGTGCTAGTCATCATCCATTACAGCGTCCTGTGTGATGTGGTTCCCGAACAAAGGCGAGCGCTGTCATTCTGGTGTGCAACCAAAGAATGCCGAATTCCAGGGAATTCATAGCGAAGTGGTGTGATGGGCAGTCTTCACCGTTACCATGGAAACACACCTCTAAGTGTGTCCATAAAATGTTCATAAAATGCCCCCAGACAGTTTTAACAGAGCAAGGAGGACCCACCCTGAACACTGACGGAAGTCCTACATAAAAAGAGAGAACAAGCTGGGCACCCATGTTCACCCCCCCTGCCTACTGGCCAAGAACACAGTATGATCAGCTGTAGGGTCCTCCCACCACGAGGGATGGGATCCTCAAGCTCTAAGACAAAAAAAAAGCCTTTCTTTAGTCGCTTCTGCCAGGTATCAGGCGTTTTGTCAAGGCAACGAGAAAAATAACTAAACCAGGTGCTGGGTTTCTCTCTAGCATTCCACCACTGGAAGGGAATTCCAGAGATTAATTCCAGCTAATTCCTGTTTTTACTGAATAACCCTTAAGGGACAACTCAGAGGGACTGAGACACAGCTGGGTGTTGAAAAGATTCTTGGTTTCTCTTGCTTTAAAATGCTTATTATTTCAATATAATATAACATATATTATAATATGTAATATAATTATAATAAATATAAGATAATAAGTATTTGAGGGGTGGTGGTGGCGCACGCCTTTAATTCCAGCACTTGGCCGAGGCAGGCAGATCTCTGTGAGTTTGAGGCCAGCCTGGTCTACAAGAGCTAGTTCCAGGATAGGCTCCAAAGCTACAGAGAAACCCTGCCTCAAAATAAATAAATAAATAAACAAATAAATAAATAAATAAAAATACTTATCGCCAGGCAGTGGTGGCACACACCTTTAGTCATATAACTTGGGAGGCAGAGGCGGGTGGATCTCTGTGAGTTCGAGGCCAACCTGGTCTACAGAGGAAGTTCCCGGACAGGCCCCAAAGCTACAGAGAAACTTTTCTATGAGGGGGCTGGGATCAAAGCTAGCACTGATAGCTCGTGTTCTCCTGGGGACCCCAGCCCAGGACTCACCCTCTGCCTCCTGGATTTGCTGCTGGGACTGTGTCTGGGACAGCTGCTTTTCTCTCTTCCTCTTCTTCTTCTTACCCTGGAACATATGGCCACAGGAGGAGATGAATAAGACAGAATAACACCAGCTCTGCAAGAGGACCCCAGATCATCCCAGAACACAGGTGCCAGTCCCCCATCTCTTGATTGCTCCTGGTGAGGGTGTTAGGAAAGGAGGCAGAGTGACCCCACCCTTCCTTCTCAAAAAGTCCCTCTGGTTGGGGCAGCCAAGCCTCTTGGTCTTGATGGCTTCCAAGCTATTCTTTTCCTTCATTCTTTACTACCTAGAAGAGAGGTCACTAGTCTTTTAGAAGCCTCTTTTTTCCCTGCCCCCTCCTTGGGCGTGTGTGTGTGTGTGTGTGTGTGTGTGTGTGTGTGTGTGTATGTGTGTGCATGTTTGCAGTGCATACGGCGACCAGAGGGCCGGATGCCATTCCTTAGGCAATGTCCACCATTTTTGGAGACATGCTTTCTTCATTGGCCTGGAGCTTGCCACACAGGCTAGACTGGCTAGTGAACCCCGAGGATTTGCCTCCTCCTCTCCAGTGCTGGGAGTCTAAGAACACAGCACCACGCCAGGCTCTCTGTGTTGGAGATTAATGCTCGTCTTCTGGCAAAGCAAATATTTTACCTCCTGAGCTATCACAAAAAGAAATCATATTAAAAAACCTGACAAGTTTCAAAGAATTTCTAGACATGGACACTAAGAATTCAAACTCGGTTTCCTTGTTTTCTAGAGAACAAGGCTTCTCTAAAAGCAAACTGGAGTTGTTTCTTTTCTCTCCTCTGAATCCTGAAGATGTGCAGCTCCGTGGGTGGTGTGTGTGTGTGTGTGTGTGTGTGTGTGTGTGAGTTCCTGCATAGCACGGACACTTACATAGTTGTGTGTGTGCCTGAGTTCCTGTGCAGCACGGACACTTACATAGTTGTATGTGTGTGTGCCTGAGTTCCCGCACAGCACGAACACTTACATAGTTGTGTGTGTGTCCAGGTGTGTGCGTGTGTGCCTGAGTTCCCGCACAGCACGAACACTTACATAGTTGTGTGTGTGTATGAGGTCCCCCACAGCACGAACACTTACATAGTTGTCCCGGGCTGACCAGGTTGGGTAGAGCTGCGCATGAAGCTGCCGTTCTTTCCTGGCAAGCTCGTAGTATTTGGCCTGTTCTTCTCTAGACAGGTTGTGCCACTGAGGGAGAGAGGATTGAGAAACACAGAGCAATCAGAAAAGGGGCCATTGAGGCCTGAAGCCAAGACGCGCATCACCAGGAGGGCGGGCCTTACCTTTCTTCCCAGGATTTGGTTAATGGCCGCGCTTTCCTTCAGGGTGCACTCAGCCACCACCTTGGCCCTCATCTCCTTCATATACAACATGAAGGCATTCAGAGGCTTCTTCACATGAGGCTTCTTCTCTTCCTCCTTTTTCACGGTAACCGGGGATTTTCTGTGGAGGCATGGAGCTAGAGATTAGGTACCACTTCCATCCAGCCCCCCATCCATGATTCACCGGCAGCTGAACAACGCCTTTGGGAGGAGAGGCTGGTTTGGGTGCCCATATGTGGGCAGAGAACTGGAGAGATGGCTCAGAGGTTAAGAGCACTGACTGCTCTTCCAGAGGTCCTGAGTTCAATTCCCAGCAACCACACGGTAGCACACAACCATCTGTAATGAGATCTGATGCCCTCTTCTGGTGCATATATACATAATAAATAAAGGATCTGGGTGGGTGGGGGACGAAGAGAGAGAGGAAGAGGCGAGAAGAGAGAGGAAGAGAAGGAAGCAGGCTCTGGTTCTCTGGGCTCCTCAGCCATGGTGTTAGTGCTGTGGGCCTTCCTGCTGTCTTTCCGACAGAGGATAATGTCTGGGTCTTTGCTCTGGCATCAGCTCTCGTGAGTCCTTGGGAGAATTACTTTCTCCTTTCCTGAAGTCATGTTTTATTGAGATGGCAGGGAAGGGAGTGAAGCTGAAAGCTTCCTTAGTGCCTCACAGCTACTAGAACCTGACCATGAGAACAGATGCACCAAGTCTTAAAGGAAGGGATGCAGAAAATCAGTCTCTGGGAGGGAAGACAGGACTAGGATTGCAAGCTGACACCAGGAAGAGAAAACCAAGTGACGTGGACTGACCAGTCGCTCACTTCCCCCTCCATCCAGAAGGCCTCTTACTTACGCACTCACTGCAGGGCTCAGACTGGGGGGCGCTGGCTCCTGCTTCACGATGGGGGAGACGATGGCAGGGTGGGGGATTCCTGAGGTGGGCAGGCCAGGATGGGCAGGGGCCACCATGTGTGGGGAGAACCGACTTGAGACCAGGCTGCAAAACCAGTGTAGACAAATGAGAACAGAGAGGCAACGGCTGTGTGCCACCCAGATGACTGTGTTCTACAGAATCAGGCTCTCAGCTTTAGGGAATGACTAAGAATGCTATTCCCTTCCCCCACCACACAGAAGATACACAAGCCTGGGCCTGGATGCAGGGGGAATGGAAAACACAGGAGGCGTGACAGACAGAAGGCATGAGATACAGGGAAAGGCAGGACTGTGGGCCATAGGTTATCGGTCACTGACAGTCCCATTGTTAAGTAGAGCCACCCCTGCGACAATTTTCCATACATTGTGTCCTTATCTGACATCATCACAGAAGATATACATTTTCACCTAGTCTCTGGCTTCAGTGTGACATGGAGGCAGGGTAACAGCCTAGGGCTCTGAGGTTTTAGTTGTGTTTGTGTGTGTGTGTGTGTGTGTGTGTGAGAGAGAGAGAGAGAGAGAGAGAGAGAGAGAGAGAGAGAGAGAGAGTCCTGAGGTCCCTATTCCATGGGGCTGTGGTATAAAGAGCATTTGGCAAGAGGTAGTCCCTTCATCAAAGAGAAGCGAAGATTAGGGAACCCCATACCTGCTCACTAACCTACAGGGGACAGGCCGGTTCACGGACAGAAACAGCACAGTCACTAATAGACAAATAGACAAATATCCCAACACGTCATGTTGTTGGCCCCAGCTCAAGGACTAACCTGGACATTGAGGCGTTCATGGCGAGGGCAGGGTAAGGATGCCGGAAACCACCAGGAGGGAGTGAGTACATGGGCTGTCCTTGCCTGTGAGGGTGAGGAAGGAGCAAGATGACTTAGTTAGACATGAGGGGTGTTTAGGGCCAAGACGGAGGGGGCTGCAGAGAAATGGTGAGAAATGGGGGCAGGGAGTCAGAGAAGCTGGGGGAGTAATGTCTAAGCCCTGGGGTCCAGAAGGCAGAGCTCAGCAGAGGAAGGAAGGACGGTAAGAAAGGCTGTGAGTTTCCTTACTGTGGGACCAGCCAGCCGAGGGGATGGGGGATTTGTCCAACAGCTCCTGGAGACAGCGGGTAATACGGCGACAGCTCAGATGGATGAGGGGGCCGGGGGATTCCTGCTTCCAGAGAGACATGTGTCAGATAGTCCTCTCTGCCTACCTTCATAACTCATAACATCCAACATGAGCCTCCTTCCCCGGCACAGCCAGGCTGTCCACACCCCGGGAAGCCCTTGTCTCTCAGAATCGCTGCCCTTTCCACCTTCGCACAGCTCTAGGCTGCCACTCAAGGGCATCCAAGGGAGGGAGGACCCATATACTGTCTCTCTAGCTACCCAAGAGCTATCTCTGTGGTTGTAATTTGCTTGTGTTTTCTGGACAGGGAGCCATACAGGGACCAGGACATAGCCCACAGAGAGCAAAAAATATCCTGAGTCATCCTTTAACTCATGTTCTAGAAATCCTGATTGATTCCCAGTACAATAAACTTATTCTGCCAATAAACCACCCTGCTTCTAAATGCTGGATTCTCACCTCACCTTTATCCCTCCCCAGCAATAATCAGTATTTCTCCAAATAAGGGCTCTGAAAATTCCTAGCACCACAGTGACTCAGTAGGAATGTTATGAAGACCTTGGCTCCCAGGGACAGACAGGTATGGTGGGCAGTTAATTATCACCGACAACACATAAAAAGGCAGCCCCACCCCGGTGTTAGAGCTATTTTAAAGTCTGTCCAGAAGGCCCTTATTTGAAATATATGGTGTAGAGCACACATTCTGGCTTATGGAGGCACAGCCTCAGAGAGACCGGACAGCACTCTGAATGTACAACGGTACAAGGCTCTATGCTTAACTTCTTTTATTTCTTTATTCCTCACAACGGCCTTTTAGTGTGAGAGGTGGGAGGCATAGGTTAAAACCAACTAACCAACCAAGCAAAAAACCCACCAGACCAAACAACAAAACACTACTCAAGCGAACCGGCAAGGCAACCAGCCTTTAGAGAACTCCCACAAGGTCTGAATACAGATCATTCAAAGATTCTTCTAAACCCCGCTCCATGGGAGCACAGCCCATACCTGGGACCACTCACCTGTCTTTGGATCGATCTCTGGGGAGAGATGCGTGGGAGGGGAAGCGGGGGAGAAGTGGTCGTTGCTGTAGGTGATGAGGGGTGTCAACGGGTGCATGTGATGAGGGTGCTGGACAACAGGAACCTTGTTGGACTGCAAGAGAGAGAAGAGGGACTAGGCACAGAGGCCAGGGAGACAGTGTGCACCCGGCTGTCACTCACTGGCAGAATGTGCTCTGGCCTTTTTCGGTGCAACGCCCTATCCAGCCCTCATAACAGGCCTAGAGAGAAGAAAATTATACAAGAGGATGAGAGAGCCCAGGGAACCCCCTCTCTGGCCCCACACAGTACCCTTCACAGGTGCAGTGAGGTGCCTGTGGGCTGCTCAGTTCTAATGGACCATGTCATCTCTATGGAGGGGAGCAAGGCTTAGCACATTTTCTTGACCACTTCCATGGAAACAGGAGATCTCAAGTTCGTTGCCAAGTTCAGACCTACAGACGAGAGGCTCTCTGAGCTTGTCGCTCCTTCCTGCAGCCCTTCTTTCATTTGGTGCTCATACTACAAACTCGGATCTGTTTAGTCCCTGGAGCTTTGTAGGCTCACAGGTCTTTCTGCAGTTAAGGTGGGCAGAGCAAGGGGTAGAAAACCCAACCCGATCATGAGCGTGAGCCGCGCTGGTCTTGGTGGAAATGGGCTTCACGCTGAGCAACGTCCTACCCCTCTGTGCTTATTAGATGTAGTAGATGAGGAAGGTTAAAACCCTAGTACTGGAGGTGGATCTCTGTGACTTCAAGGCCAGCCTGGTCCACAGAGTGAGTTCCATGACAGCTAGGCTTACAAAGAAAGAAAAACGCTGTCTCAAAAAAAAAAAAAAAAAAAAAAAAAAAAAAAAAAAAAAAAAAAAAAAAAAAAAAAAAAAAAAAAAAAAAACANNNNAAAAAAAAAAAAAAAAAAAAAAAAAAAAAAAAAAAAAAAAAAAAAAAACACCAAAAACCAAGTAAACAAAAAACCCTAGTAGTGTTTTCACTTTATTTCCTGGCCACCACCGCTGGTTGTAGATCCACAAAATATACAGCACAACTAAAAGCATAAACAACAATTAATTCTGACATCAGATCGCTAAGAAACCAGTGCATCCAAATGACGTACTTGGGTTTCTTGGGGGTGGTTTGTCAAAGAATGATTTTTGGCACTATGATTGTAACAGGACTATTACCAAAGAAAAGTGACAGAAAAATCATGGAGAATGATCAGAAGGTGCAGGGGGGCGTTGCCTGACAGCCCGAGTTTATACCTAGAACCCACATAGCGGGGCCTCTGACCTCCACGAGAATACCATGGAACAAGTATGTCCACACACATACATACAGAGAAATATAATGAAAAACAAAAATAAAGAGAATTACACAAAACCATCTCAGCTGGGAAAACAAACTAGGGGTTTGAAAAGTGACCATTACACAAGCACGCCACGTAAGCCGCCCCTGCCGCCAACTTCTCATGCGTCACGTACTGATTTCTGACATCGTCTCATTACATGGTCCAGGCTGGTCTCACACTCATCTGCTCCAGCTTCGTGCCTCGGTTGTTTATATACACTTATTTGTATCTTTTTGTCATTTTATAGTATGAAGTCTTGGGCTGGGGCATGTCGCTCAGTTGTCTAGCAGTCCTGAAGGCCTGGGTGGACCCCAGCACTGGGTGTCATGGCATGTACCTGTAACCTAGGCACTTGCATTGGGGAAGTGGAAGAAAGGTCAGAAGTTGAAGGTCATTTTTTGCTACACAGTGAGTTGAAAGCCAGCCTAGGACATAGCGTTCTCTACTCTCTGACTCTCTCTCTGACTCTGTCTGTCTGTCTGTCTGTCTGTGTCTCTCTCTCTTTCTCTCTCTTGTAAAGAGTGTCAGGTGCCAATGTGTTGCCAAGTCAAAGAACACAAAGCAAGGAAACCTGAGTGCAAATCTAGGTCTAATAAACCAAACTAAATGTCTTGTCCGTTGTTCTCATCTGCCACTAGGGAGCATCATTGTGCAAAAAAATGAGCTAGGGAACAGACAGGAAGTAAAAGCTGCTGAGCCAGCCTCTTCTTTCAGGTAGCTACAGCCCTCTGCTCTTCTCACTCCCCTCTCTCTCCAGCTGCCCTCGGGAGCTTGAGGATCACAGCATAAGCTGAGCTCCTGAATCCTGAACGCACAGCTTCAGTGGACAACCTCAGAAGGAGAGGTAGAAGACACAGGTGTTTGCTCTGCAAGGAAGGCACCCATCCAGAACAGAGCCAAATCCTTCCCGCATGCTACACAGCCTGAGCACGTCCTCAGCCCAGGTGAAGGAGTCATTGACTTGACAACGGCTGCCCAGGAAGTCACCCAACATTTCAGCAGGCAACTAACAGGATTCAAAACGTGAGTTCTGCCATCACTGATCTGTTTTCTGAGAGAGATTGCCTTTTCTTGGGGCAGCGGTGGGGAAGTGGGGAGGAGAAAAAAAAAACTAAAAATGTTTGCAATTCTTTGCAGCGACATCAGCTTCCCTGAAACATCTCAAAGCCCACGGTAAAGAGTGGGATAGGAAGCACTTGGGGGAGGCTCCCACAGACCTTGTCCCTCCAGGTATAAGCTGCTGAGATTGCAGAGTGTGGGGCTGGAAGGAGAGCTTGCAGCAGCATCCTGCCATACCCCGAACTCTATCTGTCTCGGATGATCCGCTAAGCCCAGGCTGGCTCCGTTGCCCAACCCAGGAAACAGAAAGTATCAGCTTTGCCGTGCCCCTGGGTCTCTAACCTCAGGATTGTTGCAGGAATAGCCCTAGCTCCTTGTGTATTTCCTAAGTGCATTCCTAAGACCGGAATGGCTACTTGGCAGGGCTCAGCTAAACTGAGATGTGCTCAAAGACGAAGAACCAGCATAGAAGTGCGTTGTCACACTCAACATGAAGCTTCCAATTTCCTTCCGGAGCATTCCACGCAGTAAGGACTCATTCCTTATTTCATTATTTTTCCCCCTTTTTTCAAAAACAGGGTTTCTCTGTGTAGTTCTGTCTATCCTAGAACTCACTTTGTAGAGCAGGCTGGCCTCGAACTCACAGAGATCCACCCGCCTCTGCCTCCCAAGTGCTGGGATTAAAGAAGTGTACCACAACCGCCTGGCCCTAATTATAAAATTCTTTTAAACATTTATTTGTGTGTGTGCTCATGCATGCGCACGGGTGCTCGTGGAGATCAGTGAATTGGTTCCTACCATGAGGGTTTCAGGGCTAGAACCCCAGAACATGAAGTTGAGCCCTTTTGCTCGTGTATCCATAACAGGATGCCCTACTACCCACCACCTGCCCAGATGTTCTTTTTTGTTAATTAACTGCTTAAAGTTTGGTGACAGAGAGCAGCCTTCTCTGCAGGCACCCATCGCAGATACCTACAAAGCTCTAATTCATGAGCTGTCTCCTTTCTAACTCTGCATATTTGCCTCTCTCTCTCTCTCTCTCTCTCTCTCTCTCCCTCCCTCTCTCTCTCTCTGGATACAGGGTTTCTCTATGTAGTCATAGCTGTCCTAAAGCTCTGTATGTAGACCAGGTTGGCGTCAAACTCAGAAATCCACCTGGTTCTGTCACCTGAGTACTGGGATCAAAGGTGTGTGCTACCACACTGGCTTTCTTTCACTTTAATAAATGAATCTTGCTTTACATTTTTCTTTAATTTATTTCTTTATGATGTATAAAGTTTTCTGCCATCATGTATGCCTGCAGGTCAGATGAGGGCACCAGATCTCATTACAGATGGCTGTGAGCCACTATGTGGTTGCTGGGAATTGAACTCAGGACTTCTGGAAGAGCAGTCAGTGCTCTTAACTGCTGAGTCATCTCTCAAGCCCCCTTGTTTTAGATTTTTAAACTTTATATTATGTTTTTGAGTAATATGCACTGTGTGTATATCTGGTGCTTAGAGAAGTCAGAGGCATTGGATCCCCTGGAACTGGAGTAGATAGTTTGGAGCCACTGTGTGGATGCTGGGATCCAAAGATGGTCCCTGCGCAAGCATGCTCCCGACTGCTGGCTCAACAGTGTTAGAGCTTACTCTGCTCCCAAATTTCCTACTTACTTCAGATGCCACAGTTTCTGGCCACCTATTTCTAAATGACTCCCGAGTCTATCTTAAAGCTGGCAAAATATTCCAGAAGGAGCCAGCTGGTGCAGAAAATAAGGGTGAAAAATCTGTATATAACAAGACCTGGGGCAAAGGGGAACCTAACTGAAATTTGGACGAGAGGGACTGGTAAGATGGCTCAGCTGGAAAGGTTCCTGTCAGCAAACTTGACAACATGCTGGACAGCACGAGTTCTATCACAGGAACTCACAGGCAGAAAAAGAAAATTACCGGAAGTTGTCCTCTGAGCCCCACAAACACCATGAGATACGTGCTTCCCCTTCCCCTCCAAGAAATAAATGTATGTTACATGTAACAAACCAGACCAGGCCAGGCATGATGGCACACGCCTTTGATCTCAGCACTCCAGAGGCAGAAACAGGAGGACCGCCCTGAGTTTGAGGCTAGTTGTTCTACACAATGAGGTCTACCTAGCCAGAGCTGTGGAGAGAGACCCCTGTCCCTAACACCAAACAAACAAAGCCAAAACAACAAAAAAATTCCAAACTTGGACATCTTCCTTGATAGACAGACACGTCTCAAACTCTTTAATAATTGCTTTCCTTCTTCCTTTTTATTGAGACAGGATCTCATCTAGCTCAGGATGACTTCAAATTCACTACCCACAGAGATCTGCCTGCCTCTCTCTCGAGTGCTGGGATTAAAGGAGTGTGCCACCACCACCCAGCTGGCAGAATTCTCAAATTACAGGTGTGCACCATTACACCTGCCTTTAGGTAGTGCTAGGGATGGAACCCAGGGCAAACCCTGCCAACTGAGGTGCATCCCCAGCCCAACAAAATCACTCTGAGACCACACTGTGAGTTCTTTAGCAATCACCTTACCCTAGCCTGTCGAGCAGAGGAGACACATGACTCCCACACAGAACCTTTCTGTACCATGTATGACGGCACTTATTTATGGGTTACGTGACTGGAGAGGCTGCATGAACAGGCACTGATTTGGACAGCCACAAAGAGCAATCTGACAGAGCAGAGAACAACTGGCCTCA